TCTGTTGAACTCTTCTTCTGGCACAACACGGTGCAGAGTTGGTATAACTTTTCAGAGGTGATATTGATATGATTTAAATAGCTGTTCAGGAACTAGATTAAACCAGATATTGGAACCTACTTTCAACAAAGACATTGGGTTCACCACCTCATTCCTCATTAAACTCAAAATCAGACCCTTCGTTATGAACAAATTACTATAACCTCATGTCCCCGGGTATGCCGGGTCTCTTCAAACTGGTAGTTTTCTTTTTTTTTTTTTTTTTTTTACAGAATCAGAAATCTACAACAGACTTAGGCATCCAGAGAAGCTGAGCATCTTGGAGGCCCTGAATAGCTTCTCTCCCACTCAGCCTTGGCATACAGCAAAGTCTTCACACATCCTGTTCTTAAATGAGATTTTCCTTGACCCTCTCTTTCTGAATGTCATCACGGTCGGCACTTTGGACTTGTTTAGCCCGAACTTTTCAACCATTAAAAAGCGTTGTAGTAACCTGAATAGAGCCTGGGAAGAGGAGTGTGCTCTGCAGGAAGGAGGTGTTTGGAGGATGCTCTGGGGAGCTGAATGGCTTGGATGCCAGCTCTGCCCACAGCCTCTCTGCAAATCACCCTGTTAATAAAGAGCCTGTTTTAGTTCTGGAAACATGGAGTCTTCTTATGCAATTACCCAGCATGTGGTAAATTAAACAATCTTGGCCTGATTGCATAATGTCACTTGAAATTTAAGATCCTTTTTCTCTTTAGCCCCTAAAATTTACAAGCCATTTTTGTTTAGATTTATAGTAATTAGGTAATGGTTCTGCTTCTTCGAGGCTCTTCTGGGAAGTTTTTTAGCACTTTGATGGCTAATCTCAAAATAACCAGGGGCAGAGCAGGGCTCAGTCTCCCCGTGTCTGCTGTGGTTCGGTGTACAGGAGCACGCGGTGCCGAGGCACTGAAGAGTGGCTTGGAACAGGCAATCCAGCAGGGGAGTAGTGCTGTATGAGGGCAAAAGTGCTCCAGTCCCACTGCCTCATGTCTCTGCTGCTGGTGCCTTGCCAGTCTTTCAGGAAGAGGCACTTCAAAATCACCACCCAGTCCAGAAGTGTCAAGATCCATCCCAAAATCCTTTCTTTCTTTTGACCATGCTTGACCTCTACAAGCTTGTAACTTTCCGCGTGTTTGTGTTCGGTCTAGAAGAAGGGATCAAGTTTCTGCCATTTTGGAAAATCACAAAGAAAAGACTTTTTCTCATAAAAAACAGTGATTCACTGCAGTCCACATAGCAAACGTCACCTTGGCCAGCACAACTAAGAGAGACACATTAAACTCTTCATCTCAGTGTTTCTTGCTGGTTAATAAACTATTTGGTGTTAAATTAGCAAGATCTACTGGGCTTCATCTCTTAACTCTAGCAGTGCACTTTAGGGACTGCTGAGGCCTCTCAGGATGTTTCTTTAGCACGTTGTAATTCATAGAACTGGGAGATTTCTTTGAAGAAGAAGAAAAAGATATTCTAGGTTAGACAAACCATTTGCTTGCTAATTCAAGAGGAGTCTTCACAGTTTTTTCCAGCCTGACTTTCAGTATTGGATGTGTTGAGCTTTCCCTGTATCCTTGGAGAGATGCTTCTGCATCTCTGTACCTGCTGGAGTTCTGCTCCCGTTGTGTTGCAGGTGAGGCTCGTCCTTTCATCTGGCAGAATTCAGTTTCTTTACAGCCAGTTCTGCAACCTTGAATGCAAACTTTCCTGATTTTTTGGTGATTTATGTTCCCTGGTGTTCACCTGGCCTTCATCGTGACTTGTGACACATGACACAACAGGGAAAGGCTGTGGGGCAGGACTGGAGAAAAAAACAAAACATGCTCTTTTAGTGTACAGAGCCCTTAAGTTTAGAATTTGCTGCTGCTGCTCTGAGGGGACTCCTGGCTAATTAAAGTTCAGATAGTTAGGTAAGGCTGTCTCAACGTATATCTGTGATGCTCTGCTGTTTATTCATGTCAGGCATTCATAAGACAGTTGACATTTTCTTCCTTAAAGTTCTCTCAAGTAAATTACAGGCATTTTACTGCTATGACCTTTTCCCTTACATGAAGAACTTCTGTTTTGACCATTTTTTTGTGAATATAACACCAGAACGGATGTAATTGGAGATGTATAGTTGTTCCAGTCTGCGTAGCTGGGCTATTACCTGTAATGATCCCCTAATACTGGTGTTTGTAAGTGATTATCACTTACCAAACTGCTTTAAATTTAAAGAAAAAGCCAGCCTGTTTCTCTAAATGGTTTTGGTGAATCACCTTTTCCCTTCCTTTCCCTGAATACTACATTTGCTTTCCTAACACATTAATTTTCCCTGAGTCTTAGGGAAATGGCTTGCTCTATTAATACATTTCTGGAGTTTTCCTGTTATGAATAGCCTTTTATGGCTTTAATGTAGTTTTTGAAAATTCCTCTATTATTGATCTAGATATTATCCCAGCAGGAGTCAAAACCACAAGACAATTGTGTGAGGATAATTTCTTACTACAGTAGCGTTTTATTCTGAAAGCCTGCTGTGTGGTGTGTGCTTTGATGGATGACCCACTGTTTAAAATGTGTATTAGACGTTGGCTTGCTAATTGAATGCCTTAAGGAGCGCCTGTACCCATTCACTCTAAGTAAATTTGTGTATGTGGAATTTCGGTTATTTTGTTTCTCGCCTGTGTTCTCATGTTTACTCGTTTCTGTTTTCTGACGTTGTAGGGAAGAGTGGGAGTAATGGCAAAGAATCAAATGACTTCCTACCCTCGCTTGGTTTCAGCTCGGGGCAGAGGGGAGAGGATGAGGGCTCCTGATTTCAGGACCAGGTGTGCCAGCTGGGAGGAGGAGGAGAAGACGGGGTGACTGTTGGATGTTAGAAGGGAGCGAGAAGAGCACTCACCTGGTGTTTGGGAGATCAGGATTGGGAGCCCTCATTCTCCTGAAGGACCATCTCCCACATCTCAGAACAGCTCCATAACTGGGAAGCTGTGGGGTGCTTCCCCACAGGGAGAGCCCTTCATGGGAGGCCCTTCATGGGCAGAGGGAAGGGGACAAGGTGGTTCTCCTGGTCATTGACAGAAAGAGCAACCAAGGAGGGGGACAAGAGCTTCTGCCCACCTCCAAGAAATGGCTCCTGAGTGCCATTCCCATTCCCTTTGTGCTTTTGGTTTGGTTATGTGGGGCAGATGTGAATCAGAAACAGCATATTTGCTCCTAGGACCAAGCACGGAATGTCTTCTGCTCGGAAGGATTTGGGCTTTTTGCTCAAGGCACTGGGATGTGGAGAGAATGGAGATACTGATTCATCTAAACCAAAGCAAAGACATTGTTTTCTATTTAACACAGTGATTATTGCTGTTGTTTGAGTTGGAGGCCAAACTCAAATAATATGTTGTTGTTGTTTTATGGTAATGACCTTCATGAGAACAAACCTTTGCATCCCGAGTGTCTGTGTTTCTGAATCTGCTTTTGTTACTTTCATCAGCTGTGTGGAGATGCAGCTTTTTTGTGTTCACTGTAATTGCTCCTTGCTTACTTGGAAGTGATGGAGGCAGAGCCTGGCTCTCTGTGTTCATAAAGTGAGGCCTGGCATCAGATTCACTGGAAGGAGGAAGGCCCTTGGTTTTCTTCTGCAGGTGTTTGCAGAGCGTATTCAAGGCCAGATCACAATGTTATTTTCACAGAATCACAGAATTTCTAGGTTGGAAGAGACCTCAAGATCATCGAGTCCAACCTCTGACCTAACGCTAACAGTCCCCACTAAACCATATCCCTACGCTCTACATCGTGTGTTTCATCGGTGTTTCGTCGGTGTTTCATTGTGTGTTTCATCGGTGTTCCTGCCCATGTAATTATTTGTGTCACTCCACGCAGAGTGCTCTCACTGATGCCTTGGAGTGAAGTGTCCTGTGTTCAGAATAGAGCCTTTGATGACGTAGAGGAGGAATCTGTGGTGGTCTGAACCAAAGGAGATTGTTTTGTTCTTGTTAATGAACCTTTCTTTAGCCAATGAAGTAGATGTCCAAGGACCAGATGAATTAAAACCAATGTAAGAGTCAAGGAAGTTGGGGAATACATCTCCCTTCAGCCACCCGTGGAACAAATTAGCCCAAACATAGAGTTTGGAAATTTCTGGTTGGCTTGTGGGGCTGATAATGTGTACCCATGCTCTCAGGGATGGGTGATGGGGTCATGGTGGCACTCTCACCCATGTGAAACTCCTTTCCTTACTCGCTCCATCCCCTTGGCCATGCTGACTCTTGTCTTTTCCTCCTCCTTCATAAAAGGAAGTTGCTGATATCACAGAATCACAGGATGGTTTGGGTTGGAAGGGACCTCAAAGACCACCTGGTTCCAACCCCATGGGCAGGACACCTCCCATTAGACCAGGTTGTGCAAAGCCCTATCCAACCCGGCCTTAATATCTGTTCATCACGGCCAAGCTGTGCTCTTCTGTAATTGATCTGATCTAAATTTTCATGGCAGTGTTTGCTTTGGGGCTACAAAGCAACCCCAAGGCTCCTGAATACCCCATACTGCATGTGGTGGTGAGCTCCTTCAACTAAGGGAAACCAGCTTCTCCATTCAGGATGTGGAAAGTAAGGAACAGCCATCTCCACCCCAACAAAAGCTGATGTATACAAGATTTGTTGCAAGTCCAGTGCTGCAGTGCTCCTAAGTAGAAACTGCCTCTGGCATACAGGGGAATCCTAGAATCATTAATTTGGAAAAGCCCTCCAGGATCATCTGCTCCAACTGTCCCCCTACCACCAATGTCACCACTAAACCCTAAGCACCACGTCCAACCTTTCCTTGAACACCCCCAGGAATGGTGATGCCACTACCTTCCTGAGAAACCCCTCCCAATGCCTCGTGGAGACAAGGTCAAAAAAGAAAATAAAAAAAAATAATGTTTGGAAGACACATTTTGGGAGGGAGAGGGGAAGTGATTTCACTGTAATCCCTCTGAAATTAATTTCTTGCTGAAAAATTGTTAGATCTGGATGGACTAAGCCAACTGAGTTACCAAGACAACCTACCCTATCGTGAAGATGACCACGGATCTGTTGATTCAAGAAGAACAATGGAGAGTAGGGGTGCTGGGCAGCATAAAGGGCCTAGGATGGAGTCCAGCGTTGCTGATGGCATTAGCCAGCAAGCCACCGACGGATGTTTGGAACTGGAGACAGCATTTTCCAACCAGGGATTTGAAGGAAATGATGCTACTGACAGCTCATCAGCGTGGAGCCCTGAGGTACAGTGAATTGCCTTTTGTTACATGTGGTGTAAGATTTTGAAGGATACTGGGGGCCAAAGAACGTTAGAGGAGAAATGAAGTGAAAAATTGATCGGCACAGCAGAAGGTAATGGTTCTCCTGTGTGCGTGAGCACACACCTCTCTCTGTGTTCCCCCGTTCCTTGTATTGTACCTCTTGCTACTAACGCTCATTCAGGGAAGCTGCTTTCTTGCTTGATGTCTGACTTTCGGTCTTTGAACTGAAATTGCAACCAGCATTTACCGTCAGTTAGCAAAGAGCACCCTGTGGTGGCCCAGGGCTTTACAACTGGCTGCATGTGCAGTGTGTGGGCCTGGAGATATGGTGTTGTCCCTGGGTCAGAGCTCTGCCTCTTTTTCCACAAGGTTTTTATGGCTTAGGCAACGGGAAGCATCTGGAAAGCTGGAGGCGACTGGTGCCTGTGACTTGGCAAAGTGACCAGAACCAGGGTCCCCACTGATAGCAGGCATCTTTCCAGGGAAGGAGAGGGAATGGGGTTAGAGCTGCTTTGCTTTCCCTTGGTTCTGCACCTTTATTTTGAAGCCTCAGGAAACCGTTACAGATTTTAGGACTTGTAAATGCCTGATGACTTAGCATCCCTCTTTTCTCTCATATTCTTTCTGCGTGATGTGTTTGGTTTCATTATTATTTTACCACGAGATTGAATTTCTGAAAAAATATCAGCCTGCATCAGACATATTAAAAGAATCACACAAAGGTCACGTCTTCTGCCTGACTTAAAGGAGACGGTTCTTCAGCTGTGGAAATTAATACCTCTGTACTCCGAGCAACGAGGCTTTGAGGGCAAGCTTCCTTTCCTCCGAGCGTGCTGCCTGCAGCTGGTTAAAGTGATGGGAGAGCCACTCCTCGGTGCGTACGCTCCAGCCTTAAAGGAGCATTTTGGTTTGCTGCACAAAGCAGTCCCACAAAGCACCGTATAACACATGGGAACTCCATGCGATGGCAGCCCAGACCTCTCTTTGCTGCGTGCCTGACACACAGTGTTTGTCTGCCCATCTGAGGCTCGTTCCTCCTCCTCTTTATCTGATGTGCATTGCCGTGGTACGCCCGTGTTGCAATGTCTCAGCTGTCCTCCACTTGTATTTCTTTGGAATCCATCTCTCGTTTCGCTCCTGGCATGTACAGTTAAAAAATGCAAACAATGGTTATAGCATCAGGTGGCAGATATCCCCGCGTCCTGGTTTGTCTACTACGAGCAGCTACTCATCCAAAGGTATTGTGTGGATTAATGAAAGACTTTTTATTACGGGAACTAAATGTTCTGACATGCCAGGAATGTCCAAGCTCTATTATGCTTCATTCAGAGCTCCTCTCTTTAGAGACAAAAATGATAATTTTATGCCCCTACCATGGAACCACGAGTACCATTTCAAGCCTAGTCCATAATTAGCTGCTCTCACAGGTTTCTCTGGCAGAAATGGACTTATTTTACCTAGGGAAATGGATGTTGGCTCTGTCCTGAGTGACTGGGTTACACATACAGTATCAATCAGTCTACTTAGCTTGACGCCACCGCAGCTGAGCTGGGAAGAGGGAAATAAATAAATTCAGATGAAGTGTCTAGACCCCACACTTTCCTTGGATTTCAGTTTCACTGTTTATATAGTTTGTGTAGCCAATACATTCACAAAGCACTCGCAGCCCCAGCTGAGCCCTGAAAGCCAATGGGAATTTTGTCAAGACTTCCACAGAAAGAAGACCAAGCATCTATAAGCTTCGTGGGCTGAACACCTGTAGAGAGGTGAGTCCCAGATAGCACAGCTCTCTCTGAAAGCACCAGCCCATGGGATCCCAACAGCTTGGTTGTCCACGGAAAGGTCACTGGCACGGAGTCTGGCATTCTCTTTCCCTCCTTTCCTCCAACGCATGCAGTTTTCTCTGCAGTGGATGTGGCCACAGCTATTGTAGCACAGTTTGAGATTTCCTAATATCCAGATCCATTTTAACTGCTCTGTCAAAGACCAGATATCTGACCTTCAGCCTGCCCTTCAGGCAGCCAGAAGATGAGACGCTCAGCTCTGTTGGTAGGAAAGTGCCTCTTGGCTTTTTGTACAAGACGATGACGCACAGGTACTCATGTTCCCAGCTCAGGCATGTCGATGAAAGCAGCAGTGCTGCAAGCAGAGTTTGCTCTGTACTTCAGCAGCAATTCTCAAATGTGCCTTGATCCCATCTCCTCAACAGCAAATGCACGGATGAAAGTGGGGAGGGATGAACATGTGGGGGGAAGCATGAATCAAGTGCAATCCCTTTACGTTTCCTTCTTAAATATTATTTCAGCAGCCAGACAGAAATAACTTGACAGCTACACAGCAGCACTTGCATTTGCATAACGTCACGTTCTCTCCCGGCAGCCCGGCCTGCTTGGCATCTTTGTCTTTGAAACCTGCTGCTCATACAGAAAGGCGTTTTTATGAGCAACTGAGTCATTTTGTGCGCTGACCAAGAGGTGATTTTTCTCTCTTTGACACCACTAATGCAACATATATGATAGCAGGTCTTCATCACTAATGTACACAGATGGACATCTGTAGCCACAGGTATGAATGCCTCAAACACTTGTAAAAATAAGGAAAGTTGGAGCTCTGCAGATGAGCCTGAACACTTGAAAAGCTGATCGACAGGAAGTAGATGGAAATTTTGAGATTTGTCTGAGATCTTGGTTGAGACACAGGCCGCCCTAGAAACTTCTCAAGGGAATTACATCAGAAGTCTTCTGGCCCATCATCTGCGCTCTAAACAATAAGATCCCTCTGTTGAAAAGAAGTGTTACTTGAAATGCGAAAGAAGATAAATGTTTGAGGAGGAGGGTGACTCAGACTGCTAGTGACAGGCCTTAATTCACCTTCTGGCTATTAACTGAAAATCTTTCCCGAGTACAGTGTATACTCATGTTTAAATACAAATCATTGATCACTATAGCAACCCCTTTATCACATGAAGCACATTCTAGCTCTAAGATAACAAGCACTTTTGAACAGAAACGCACACGCCCACTCATCAAAAGGTAAGGTGAGCATCCATTTTTTATTTTATCAAGACGATTTTTGCTTTAGAAGAAGGTAAAAGATGGCATGTGAATTCATCTGCACATTTTGATTTTGTATTTTGAATTCTTATTCCGAACGTATTAGTACCCACACTGAACAGAAGGAACAGATGCATCTCTTGGGAGATTTAAAAAGTGAATAAAGAATCAATATGTATTTAATCAGACCGTTTTTCTTGATTATCATTGCTTTAGCAGTAGGAAAGTTATTGAGTTATAGGGTAGCATCTAGAAATGGAATTTCCATTCTGCCACAAGTTCTGACATTATGATTTTCCCCTTCGATCAAACTGAACACAGTGCTTAATTTTCTTAGTTTCCTACAGAATAAAATATCCAAAAAGGTAGCAGGTTCGATGAAATTGTTTGATTTCAGTAATATGAAAAAAAGCCATCTTGAAAAAAATTCAGTGTATATTCAAAGTAATAGGTTGTCTTTTTTTTTTTTTTTTAACCAAACCAAAACATTTTTCCCCTATGTACAATTTTTGCCAAGTTAACAGTCTTCTGCAAAACATTCAAATATTGATGGAACCTTTTGTTGGAAATGTTTCAACGAGTGCTGTTGCTTACTAGATTGTATGGGGAATATTACACAGGATCAGGCAGTTAACGAGCATTGGCATCTCAAAAGAAAGTGGGACCCTTGTTTTGCAGAGAAACTGTCCACATTTGCAAACACAAGCGAGGAGATTAAAAGTTTTTAAGTAGAGTTGGAATCACAAAGGCAGTTCAGCTCTGATGGAGGTTTTATTTCTTCCTTCTCTTTGCAGGAGCATGATGAAGTAAACAGTGTACCAGCTCATGAGAGTGCCCATCAGCCCGTCTGTAGATGCGGTGATCTAGATGTCATCTTCACTTATAAAGCCTCAAGTCAAAAACTGGTGGTTACTGTCTTGGAGGCCAGAGACGTCCCAGACAAAGACCGCAGCGGTGTGAACACCTGGCAAGTGCACACAGTCCTGATGCCAAGCAAGAAACAGAGGGGTAAGACAAGTGTTCAAAGAGGACCTGTTCCCATCTTCAAGGATAAAATTACTTTCAGTAAGCTGGAGCCACATGAGTTGAGTGGCTACGCCATCCGTTTCCGCCTCTATGCTGTGCACAAGATGGTTGGAGAGAAGATGATGGGAGAACAGCTGTTCTACCTGAGCAACGTCAGCCAGGAGAGGGACGTGAAGGTGACGCTGGTCTTGGAGCCAAGGAGTAATTTGACTGTAAGTCTGATGAAGGAAATTTGGAGTCTGTAAAATTGTTCCTTTGGTGAACGGGGACCAGCTGTTCTTAATACCTTTAATTCAGGGCTGTTAGGATGCAACTGGTGGGTCTGTCCTACTGTCATTTACCACAGGTAGCAGTAAGGGGAAGCACAGGGCACATCTTCCACACAGAAAGCTGTGCCTCGTTAATCATGGCTCACCTAGCAAGTTTGTACTTCTATACAACTCATCAAACACCATGCCATGCAGGATTAATAGCTTGGGTCCTGGAGCCACAAAGGCTAATTACCTTCATTTCAACGAGAACAGTAGTTCTTGTGCACCGTTATGTTGGTGGAGCTGTACTACTGCCAGTTCAAGAGCTACCTCATTTGGCACTAGCTCCTGGCCTGTGGATCTCTGCATTGAGCAGTTTCCACGTTACCAGAAATACTCAGAAAATGTTTCTTTTCGTGGCAGATTGGAGTGGTAGGTCATGGGAGGAGAAACTGGCAGTGCTGCTTCATAGCCTTCCATGCATATCACCGTTGTATCCAGCCCTGGCTATGCCAATCAGTTTGTGTAGATGAGCTCTGACATGATTCATTGTCTACAAGAAGCTCAGTAAGATGTTAGGCACACAAAATGAATGAAACATCACAGGCTGGGTGAGAAGGGGATAGAGAAAATGTCATGGTGCAAGGAAAGAAATTAAGAAAATATGCAGTACATGACTAAAAAAAAAAAGCAAAATGCATTCCATCCAAAAGTCTTTTTTTTTTTTTTTTTTTTTTTAAATTTTCTGTGCATTTAATGAGCTAGGATGTATGCTTATCTCAGAGGCTTTGATTTACACTAGATTTACACATTACATAGCGTTCCTCATCTTTAAAGAGAAAGCTAAATGGTGTTTTTGTAAAAGTAATGCTCTTATTCTTTTGGTGCCTTATCATAATTCATTCTTAGTCATTGCCATTTCTTACGGGAGATCTTACTAAGCAAGGCTACAAGATATAAATTAAAGGGAGGGTGGCGGTGAAAAATCTGATGAGACTTTCAGTGCTCTTTCCCTGCAGAGTGCAGACTCTCAGCTTAGTCTGTCAGCAATCTCTCACAGTGATAGCGCTTCTTCAACACAGTCCCTGTCGCATGGAGGGGTGCCAGAGCTGCTCGTGGGCTTGTCGTACAATGCCACTACAGGGCGGCTGTCAGTGGAGATGATCAAAGGCAGTCATTTCCGAAACCTCGCAATTAATAGGCCACCTGGTAAGTACTTTCACTGCTATTAAATAACACCACAGAGTCAAAATTTGTGTTTTATTTTCCTCCTCGAGATATTCAATTATGCCATTTCTGCGTTAGGTTTCCGTGCAGAGCATCTGATTGAAAATTAAGAGCATTATTGCAAATATGTGTGCTGGGAAACTTTGCAGTGTAAATGGAGGCAATCATATGAAGACGCAGCTGACAGGACAGCAATACCAGAATGCTCCTTTTCTTGCATGTACCTTTCCAACAGCTGATTATGGCAGAAGTGCTATTACATCCAGAGCACAGAGTAATTTTCAGCAAATCCACAGAAAAAAAGAAGCACTTTTTGAGTGATTATATGTTCCCATGTGACACGCAGAGGCCCTGCCTAGTGCCATTCAATATTTCCTAGGGCTATACTTTTAGTCCCCTTCTGTGCTGCTGAGCTCTGGGTGACCTGGTGCTTTTGGCCCTTGGGGGATCTTCCTGCTGTGATTTCTTTGTAGCCACACAAAAAAGTCTTTTGTAGAAAGAGGATTTGAAAGATGTTCTATTGAGTCTCAATAGCTGAGTTCCCTTCCTCCAATACCTAAAGGAAAAAATGGAAATTGCCTTTCAGTAGGTTTGGTTAGTGCTTGAGCTATAGTTAGTCCTTGAGGAGGACAGTGGATGGATGGTGCTAATGTCTGTGATACAGATGGGGCCGGGCAACCATAGTGCATGGTGTTATCTGCTTTGTTGCTTGTGCCCCTTATTCAGGGTTTGAATGGCAGCTCTGTATTCATCCCATATTATCCTTTTGCCTGCTGGCTGAAACCAGCAGCTAATGGCAATGTGGAATAGCATTTTTTGTTTGCTGTCGTGTTTGGGTTTTGTGATTTGGTTGTCCGTCTGTCAGTGGTACAGAAGGTAAGAACCTTTGACAGCTCTTTGCATTCACTGGATTTGATGCTGTATCTCCAGCTTGCAAAATGCTAAGATTGCATTTGCAAGATACTGTGCTCTTTATCCCAGAGCTAGCAAAGCATTTATCTGATATTTTGGTGTACAGACATGAAAACTTAAGTTTCTACTAAACTACTTCAGTACTTCAATTCATTACATAAATAAACCCGACTGTGTGAGCAATCAATCCTTCAAGAATTAAGTACAAGTCTCTGCAACAGTAAAACACATGACTTCAGTCTGTGTAGCCCTAGCTCGTCTCGCATTAGCTGTGACAACAAAGATCTCCATGGCAGTTGCTTAAAGGCATGCTATTGTTTGCATTTATGCTTTATTAAAAGTTTCAAATCAGGGCATTTTTAGTTGATTTAAAGCAAAGGTAGGTTAAGACTAGGTTCTTACTTACCACATTCTCTAGCAAGCAAGTTCGCATGTGTTTATGCAAAATGAACATATTCCTGAAGTTTAATCCTCAGACATTGAATGAAAGTAGTCCCAGTATAAGTCCAAGTTAATTTGTTGCAGTTTTTCTGGTGTGTTTTCTATCTGTGGTCTTGGAGTTTTGTCACTTTACTGCCTGAAGGGCAGGATTCTGCAGCACTTCTGTTCTTAAATCAGGCCCTGCGCAAGCCTTGCATCTGGCTCAGTCAGGCAGCTGTACTGCCCCACCCTTTCCCCATAAATGAAATGTTTGCATTGCAAAGAACTCAAATAATTGGCCTCCAATTTACTACCTGCGATATCATGATCAGATTGCTGACATTTGTTGGTATGCTTCTGATGAGCGTCTCTCTGGGTGCGTGGTGTCTAGCTCCGTGTGTTGCAGTAAGCTGAGCAACCCTCAAATTCATCGTCTGAGTGCTGTATAATTGTGTCTGTCCTGGGCCTCTCAAGGGATGGGGTTTGGCAGATTAGCCGTGTGTGCACAAATTTGCTTTCAGGATGGAAAAGTTTAGCTGCCTTGATTAGACGTCCCATTAAGCTTTTTAGCTGATGGGCACACAGGAAAGCAGTAGCTTGGCTGGCAGCATCTTTAAACCTGATAAGCATTTTGCATGTTTGTTGATGTGAAGAGAACAGCACGAGAAAAGAAGGCATTCTTTGAGGGAGCTTTTATTTTAAATTCTGCCTGAATTTTCTGCTTTCTGTGTTTGTGGGGCTTCAGATAAACCTAGTGAAATCAGTTCGATAAGCTGGCCGTGCAAACTAATATTCCTGACACTGGTTCGTAATGGTTCTCCCTGTCTGTGCTATTAAGGCTATCTTGCATTGTCCCATTGTCCCTTTGCACCCTTTCTATATCCAGATCGACTTTAGCATTATCAAGCCAGCTAGGTCTCGATGTTAGATTTGCTATCAGGCGAAGTTCATTACAAGGAAGTTCTGAACCTATCACTATCTGCTTCTTTTACTCAAACTCACCTCATTTTTTTCTGAACCTGTAAAGTGCCCAGTAGTGTGCTGAGAAGAGGAAAATCCTGTGAAGCAGAAATCAAAAGAAGCTAAGTAGAAGCAGGAAGAAAACCAGCACTTGTCTCAGATGCTGGAGTAGCTTTTCACTGATAGCTCCTGCAGACGCTGCAGAGGAGTGCTGTGAGGTGGGATTGTTGCTGTCTGAAACATGCTGGTGGCTGAATGAGAAGCTCAATAAGTCCTTCACTAGGTGAAAACTAAAACTGCTGCCTCCCTTTCTGGAGGGCGAGGAAATAGCCCTTGTGTTTCCTCAGGTACAGCCTATCCATGGCTCTGCTCTTTGAGGCTTAGAGAGAGCGATTTATTTCTTGACACTGTTCACGGGGATTTCAGACATAATAGTGCTTCAAAACACATAAATATCAAGACCAAACTGCTCTGCGGGGCAGTTACATGTGGTAAGACTGGGAGAACTCAGTGGGCAGAATCCACCTCCGTTTCCCACCCCTGCACACACAGTCTCTGCAGTACCCTTTTGTGGTCCTGTCGCAGCCCAGTGGCTTTAGTATTTGCTGCTGCTGCCAGCTGCAGCTGTGGGGAGTGGCAGGAGACTCCTACAAGACAGCAAATTCTCCAGCTGTGCTCTTTTCCCACCTTACCTGCTACCTGGGGTCCTGCACAGGTGATCTCAACATCTCCTGCAGCATGTGTGCTCCCTTCTTGGCCTCTCTGCACAGGGATTTCAGTGTGCAGAAGAGGGAACTGGACTCAGGCACTGCTGATTTCAGGTGTTAAAAACCACAGAAGCTACAGCAGGTAATTTCTGGAGAAGGAGAGGAAGATTAGAGCTGGAAGATTGTGCACATCTCTCAGTTTTTTTTCCTGGGAACATCTTATGCTTCACTTAAACCTTTAAATGGGATGCAGAGTTGAACTGCGTCACTTCAATATCAAAGTCATGGGTGCTTACATGGGTAATAGCTGGGTTAGGAAACAGCTGGGTAGCCCGCAGAGACTTAAATCTACCAGGCAGTGTCTTCTCTTCAGGTCACATATGTGGAATGCAAGGATCGTTTGATCAAGAGTAAGCATCCAGGCATTGTTCTGGGGAATATGCAGACTTAAAGAGCTGAGTTCACAATCCCTGAGCGCACAAACAGGTCCATTATCACTCAGAGCACTTAAGAGCACTCAGGAGCAGGGCTGCAGCACTGGACTGTAAATTGGCAGTGTCTGCCAAAAAGCCTCGTGCACAAACGCATTTACAGCTTTGTCAGATGTGGGCACCCCAGGTGTTTTAGCACTAATGAGACGTGTCCTGTGCACCTCCTCCTCTTCGGTTCTTGTAAAAATCAGTAATGTTAGTTATGCCAACATTAACAAGTTAGCATTTCATAGGGGTTCATATTTCGGTCTGCGGTATTGGGTTTTCTTAGAAGAACAAAGCTCAGCGTGTTCACTTAAAGGATGTTTACTGTAAGGAAAGTAACAAGAGAAGCACACAACGCTGGCAGACACATCTTTAAAAATTTATAACCGGTTACGTGCTATTTGTATGGGATAGTAGTACCTTGGGATTGTAGTGATGGACCGGGGATCGTTTGCCCTTGTCAGTGTGTGAACAGGCAGCAGAAGGATGGTTTCTGCCCACAAGATATTTAACCTCCATCAGCAGCTCTGCAGGGTGCAGCTCTCCCTCCTCTAATCCAGCCTTCGCTTTTCCTCTTTCACATTGCTTTTGGGGTTTACGTCTGGGTGTAGTGCAATTTGAGAAGGACTATTGTAAAGATATTCCCATGTCTAAGAAAAGTCCTCCTAGCTTTTCAGCAGCTGCAGAATTAATCACACATAGTAATTACATCCGTACATGATCATTATTATACCAGCAGCATATTAACCCCATTAAGCAAATACAATAGCACTAACTCTGGGAAAGACAGGAGGGAGAGAACAAGCTATCAGAGTTTCTATTGGGAACAGGAGAAATTCTTGAAGTAAGGACTTGTCTGAAAACAAACATCTACCTGAGCCCCGGATAACACTGCCAAGAAGTGCAGAAGCTGCTCATGTAGAAAAATTAGGGTCCTCAGATGGTATTTGTTGGTCTGGCATCAGAGTGCCTGAAAGTCATTAGTGGATTTTATTTTATCAAATTCTTTGTGGAGGAAGGAAAGTTATTATCCTTGTTTCATTCCTAGAGGACTAAGACACGGGTTAATTTCTTTAATTGATCCCACTTAGACCAGGAAGCTGAATAAAAAGGTAACTTTTAACCAGCATATCTGGCACTGAACAGGGAGCTTGCTTGAGCTCCTAAAGCTCTGTAATTCCTGCTCCCATCTCAACAGTAATAAGAGGGCGATTCGTACCAGGCAGCTGGGATGGAGTCAGCCCAGAGAGCTTGGTAAACAGCAGTAGAGGTGTTGGGCAACTGCTCAGTGCTGACTACTTGCCAGCTGGTCACAGTGGGCTTGTACAAAACCACGTCTCCTTCGACATCTTTCATTGCCTGTCCTTGGATATATCTTGCATCAACTTAAATAAGCTGAGGAAGCTTTGTTCAGGGTAGAAGAGATGTGGCCAGCTGCAGGGAGTCCCAGAAGGACGTCTCAGTAGTGAGCAGCTGGGCACTGGTGTGGAAGATGAAGCGTGGATAA